TCACCTCAGAACACACACGCCCTCACCTCAGAACACACACGCCCTCAGCCCAGAACGGCCACCGGCCGCTGAGTCTGACCACAACACACTCCTAGTTAACAACTTTTAGTTTGTTAGAGTTAGGGTTAGAGTTAGGGTTGGGGTTAGAGTTAGGGTAAGAGTTAGGGTTAAGGTTGGGGTCAGAGTTGGGGTTAGAGTTGGGGTTTTGGTTAGAGTTAAGGTAAGGGTTAGAGTTAGGGTCAGTGTTAGAGTTCGGGTTTGGGTTAGAGTTAGGGTTAGAGTTAGGGTTTGGCGTAGAGTTTAGGTAAGGGTTAGAGTCTGGGTTAGAGTTAGGGTTAGACTTAGGGTCAGGGTTGGGTTAGAGTTAGGGTTAGAGTTAGGGTTTGGCGTAGAGTTGAGGTAAGGGTTAGAGTCTGGGTTAGAGTTAGGGTTTGGGTTAGAGTTAGAGAGAGGGTTAGGGTTAGAGTAAGGGTAAGGACTAAAGTTAAGGTTAGGATTACAGTTGGGGTCTGGGTTAGAGTTAGAGTTAGAGAGAGAGTTAGGGTTTGGGTTAGAGTTAGGGTAAGGACTAGAGTTAGGGTTAGGGTTAGAGTTAGGGTTAGAGTTAGGGTTAGAGTTAGGGTTAGAGTTGGGGTTAGAGTTGGGGTTAGAGTTGGGGTTAGAGTTGGGGTTAGAGTTAGGGTAAGAGTTAGGATTAGAGTTAGAGTCAGGGTTAGGGTAAGAGTTAGGGTTAGAGTTAGAGTAAGGGATAGGGTTAGAGTTAGAGAGAGAGTTAGGGTTAGGGTTAGGGTGAGACTGGAAATAGAAGAAAAGAACACAGAGCAAAACGCTCTGAGTGGATCTCACCTTTTCTCCTTTTCTAACCCAGGATCTCCACAACCAGTGTAAGCAGACTAAGCAGCAGAACCAGGACCGGGAGGCCGCCTGCTCCGAATACGTCATCCACAACGGGGCCTGCATTCAGGAGTGCCCTTCTGGATACACCACCTTGAATTCCACCACGTATGTTTTGCTTGGCCTGGAAACGCACACACACACGGCTAAATGCCACCCACAACAGTTGGCAAAACAAACACTCTGTGGTCAGTGAACACACCAAAAGCTGGTCCGGTCAGATAGCAGCCCAGACCATGGCCAAACCCTCCTACGTGCCCTCGTCCAAACTGATAAAGACACTCACATTTAAGGGGTCCTTACTCCGTCAGCCCATTCTAATCCGCTTGTCATCCATAAGAAAGTCCATTCTGGAGGCTTTAGTCTTTAAAATCCACTGTAAAATTGTTGATCCTTCATCAAGCTGTGGCTGTTCTTACACCGTCTGATATGGGGGAGTACCGCTCATTATTGAAGAACACATTATAACGGCAGCTCTGTTTAAAAAGCCCTGACCTGGTGAAGAAGAGCCATGGGGGGGGCGTAGATGTCATGGCAGAAGGGCCCAGCCTGGCCTGCCTCTATGGAAACCTGCCCCCAGCCCGGTCAGACGGCTGCAGCTACCCCCATTTAGGCCCATCAAAGAACAGGCTTTGTGTTCCATACGGGGGGACAAAGTCTAACGCAGGCATGCAAGGTATGGACCTTAATGTTGGCTAGTCCTCCAGTCTGGGCCGGAGCCAGTCAGCTCTCCTTTTGAAATCAGGACGCACATTTTCATTCCAAACAAGTAGGAAGCTGCATTGAAATAGAAGAGTTAGAGTTAGGGTTAGAGTTAGGGTTAGGGTTAGGGTTAGGGTGAGACTGGAAACAGAAGAAAAGAACACGGAGTAAAACGCTCAGTAATTTTCCTGGTGAGAGGAACATTGACATGTGAGCTTGTTTTAGCTTTTAGCTTTAGATTCCAGGTGATGAGCTGAGAGTTCAGATGTTTAGAATCTGGGAGTGGGGAGCACCAGCCGGATTCTTTTAACTGGTCCGACGCCTGAAATGTAAAAGCTCTCCAAATGAAATCATCCAGACCCGTTGGACTGTGGTCTGGACGTGCAACAGGCAGGGCCTTGACCTTATTTAGCGTTTCTCCTTGTGGAGTAGGGGAGGAGAAACACAGCTTCAGAAGCTGTTGCTAAACAGGGATGACGTGTATTTGTTTTGAGGCCAAGTATGTGTTTTGAAACCACTCCTGTTTACATGCTTTCACAGCGCATACATGAGGCTTGTGCAACGAGGGTAACATATTTTCCAGTTGGAGGGATGAAATATTTATGTACTGAAACATTCATGTGACTAAACGAGTATCGCTGGAGTCCCACTTTACCCCAACGTGACAAAGAGAAGAGGAGAGGAATGCACAGGTTCAGAGGGGTTATTTAGGCCTGTGTGATGAAGAGTCCGGCTTCTTCCTCAGCCTACACAGGAATTCAAGCTCTAGGCCGGACCTGCCTTAGAGTAGTGAAACCCTTAAGGTGCCGTGATTATTTAAGCACCTGAGCTCCAGCTGTAAATGTCTCCGTTCTGAGGCCTTTGGTTTTCCCTGGGTGTTGTTTTCCTGGTCTCTGACAGGCAGCAGGTGAGGCGGATAGGTAGAAGCTGGAAGAGGGGGGGTGTTTTTCTAGAGAAAAGCTGGTTAGCCAGCTGGGTGGAAGCAGCCTGATGGCCTCCACGGGAACTGGAAACTGGAATTTTTTCCACTTTCCAGTGTGTACTGACAGTTTCCAGGACATAAATCAGTCCTGGTGGCTTTCCTTATCACATGCTCACCGGTTTTTAAGCGCCCGGTTCAAATCCCAGCCGTCTTATTGTGGAGGGCGCGTGGCTGTTGGCCAGAGTGTGACAGTCGGTGTCAGCTAGCCACTAGAGATAGTAGCTCCAGCTACAAACCACAACCTGATGAGCAGATCAGGTTTATGAGGGCTGTCCTTATCGGCAGTTTCCATCTGGAAGCACAGCGGTTTGTTTTTGCCTCCTCGTATTCCCTGTGGTCCTGCGTGTGGCGGATCCGGACTCTTTAACGAGGCCATTTCGTGTGCTGTTGCGTTCCCGTGCAAAGTGGGATCTTCCATTACTCAGTGAGTACACCCAAAAGCTCTCACACAACAGTTATAAACACCAAGATCTGCCCATCCTTCTTCCATCATCTCCATGACTGTTCCATGGCCACACACAGGTCTGAGAGACTCTTTCCAGGGGAGCAAAGTAAGGACATAGGAATTGAAACAATAGAATGACTCCTTTTATTAGAGCTTTGCAGTTGGGACACATTGTGACTTAAAGCGTGGTGACCAAGGCTTTCTGCCTCACAGATTATTATCGTAGCCCCTCATCCCCTAATGGGGTTTCGGGGGAGTGGAGCCTATCCCAGCAGCCAATAGGGAGAGGCGGGGTCACCCGGGACGGTCCCCAGTCCATCACAGGGACACACAGAGACACACAAGGACCAACAACCACACACACTCACACTAAGGGCAGTTTGGAGTCCAACCAACCTAACATGCAGGTTTTTGGAGGGTGGGAGGAAGCCAGAGAACCCGGAGAGAACCCACAGACACAGGAGAACATGCAAACACCCAGAAAGGTCCTGGTTCCCCCGGGACTCCAACCCAGAACCCTCTGGTCCTGGTTCCCCCGGGACTCCAACCCAGAACCCTCTGGCAGAAAGGTCCTGGTTCCCCTGGGACTCCAACCCAGAACACATTTCATGAACTCATTCTGATTTATTTGAACTCTAACCACTACCTGTCTGATCTGAGTATGTCCTCCTCCCTGAGGTGTGATGACTAAAGTCTCATAAAGGCTGAGAAACACTGCTTCCCCCTGAAGGTTACTTAAACCATTCACTTCATTGGAAACTTTCTGTCCAATCTCTTCCGGCAGTGAAGTGAGCTGATGCTCCTGTTATTAGGTGTGTTGTTTTTGTTGTGCAAACGGAGATGACTCATTTATTTTTAGGGACCAGATGTCCCAATAATTCTTTGTGGTTAGAGATTTCCTTGACAGTGGAACTCAGTCAGGGATCGGACTCAGATGCTTTCCCCCAAATGTCTTCATTCTTTTTGCTTAAGTGCGTCTAGTGTCCTCTTTTTGTGTTTACCTTCCTGTACTTTATAGGTTTGCTGGTCTTTTCTGAGCCGTGCGACAGCAATGCAGCTCTTTGTGCGCGCGCGCACACACACACACACACACACACACACAGACACACACACACACACACACACACACTGGGCCTGGTTCTGCCAGGGCCGGGTGTCAGCTGCGGTCTGGGCTGGAGATGGCTTTAACAGACCCGAGTCCGAGTCACAGAGTTCAGATAAACACTGTCCCTTTAAGAGCCCAGCCTGTCTGGACAGCCCCAGTGTCTGTGTTTTCACTCCAACAGCCCAAAACATCCCCGCTCTGCCCCGCAACTGCAGCCCAGCTTTTTCAAAGCTCAACACAGGGTTTTCCAGGAGGGGGAGACGAGCTCCACGCTCCCTTGAATTTTCTTAGATTCTGCTGTTTCTGAGGGCCGTTACTGTGTTTCAGGGCTCTGGCCGGCTGCGTTATTCAGAGCTGGGTGGGAGGGGAACACAGACAGGCAGATTCAGACCATGCCCAGAGCATTGCACCTGGGAATTACGTGTCCTTATCGCCCCCCCAGAGCTCCACGCCGCTGCTCTGGGGGGGCCGTTTCCGCTTCCTAGAGCGTGGATTATAATAGGAGTTGCATAAACGCAGAATTAAAAGCAGACAGACGACAGCATCTTTGTTAGCCGCTGCCTCGTGCACAGGCTGCCTTCAAAAGGCTCCTTTTGGATGTAAAAACACCCGTTTGAAGGCTTCCAAACCCACTCCAAGGACCTGGTGTCAGTGGGTTTTTTTTTGTTTTGTTTTAAATTCCAAGGACGTCTCAGCCACTTTTGAGCTCGTCCTACTCGGCAAATCGGCGCTTTCCCGCCAAGCCGCCAAAGCAGAGAGTCCAAGGCGATGCCCGGCAGACCTTTGTTGTTTGGAGGGTCAAGGCTGGAAGTGGAATAAAAAGGAGGATTATGTTCCTTTGAGGGGGTTTCAAAAGACAAAGTGCTGGTTTGTGAATGAAGTGCAGGCTCCCTTTTGTGGGGGCAGCGTGCTGGCTGGACCAGACGGGTCCTTTGTGGAGGGGGGTCCTGAAAGGCGGCGTCCGGGCCTCGGCGCGGCCCGTTGGGGAGCCTCTGGCCCCCGTTAGCTGGTGCGGCTGGAACAGAGGAGGGCCTGTTCGGGGGCAGCTGCTGCCTCTCTGGGCTGTTGGGCTGCTCTCTGATCAGCCTCCCTTTGCCTTTTCATCCCTCTTGTCTCGGTGCTAATAAATACTACTAATAAATACCAAGGAGGCCCAGATGTGGACCAGGACCGGCAGCTTCTGCCCCTAAAGCCTGCCGTGTGTGGCAGGGGACTTGTTGGATTCCTTGAAGAATACGTCAGTGCCTGCTGGGAGCTGCTTTGTGTTGCTGGAGCCCCAGAATGGATTCAGCTTTAGCATGTGTGAAACGCACCAGCCTACCTGCCTGGCCTGGATTCAGGGCAGGGAACTAACGGCTAGGCAAGAGAGGTTTATTTTACAGCGCATTTCGTGTACAAGACAAAACAAGAAAAGGAAAATAATGAAAATTAGACAGATGAAAAGTGAAGGGAGTTACACAAAAGCTTTTTCATCTGGATTTAAACATTGTCAGAGTTGGGTTCTGTCTCACGTTTTGAAGACTGATCCAGACTTTAGGAGCCTGGAATTGAAATGAAGTTTTACCTTGTTTGGTTCTGACTCTGGGCCCCATCAGGAGACCAAAACCTGGTCCAGCCGGTTCACCTGGCTCTAACGGGCCAGACTATGAAGAGACCAGAACACCAGCAGAGCTGTTTTAGAGTCTGTTCTCTGAGTGACAGGAAGCCGGTGGGCTGATATGGTCCTATTTCCTGGTGTCCCCCACCAGGTGGGACAAACAGATTTGTGGTGTTCGTTTCCGGATTCCTATTGGTGTGGCTGCTCTGTGGGCCTGTTTCTCATCAGGATGTGTGGTCCTCTGTCTCTGCAGGCTGACGTGCACACCGTGCGCGGGCCTGTGCCCAAAGTCCTGCGTGGGAAATAAGACCATCGACTCCATCACCTCAGCTCAGGCTCTGAGAGGCTGCACTGTCCTCAAAGGCAACATGATCATCAAGATCCGAGGAGGGAGTGAGTATTTTCCCCCGGAGCCCTGCCGGCCGTCTGCGGGGCCCCAGCTGCTCTAACTGTGTCTGCCCCCCCCCCGGCCTGCAGATAACATAGCAGCTGAGCTGGAGGCCAACCTGGGCCAGCTCGAGGTCATCAGCGGGTACCTGTCCATACGCAGGGCCTACGCGCTGGTCTCCCTCTCCTTCCTGCGCAAGCTGCGCCACATCAACGGGGAGCACCTGGACGGAGAGTGAGTCCTCTATCCGGGCCTCCGGTCCAGCCTGTACCGCCCCCCCACCCCCACCCCCCCTGTGACTGATCCCTGCTTCTCCCCCTCAGCATCTACGCCTTCTACGCGCTGGACAACCAGAACCTGCGCGAGCTGTGGGACTGGTCCAAGCACAACCTGACCATCCACCGGGGGCGCACCTTCTTCCACTACAACTCCAAGCTCTGCATGTCCGAAATCAGGAAGATGGAGGAGATAACGGGAACCAGGGACCGCAACCAGAAGAACGACATCGCTATCCGGAACAACGGGGACCAGGCGTCCTGTAAGCTGAGCACCTCTGGGGGGGCTGGAGCTCCACCCCTGTCCCTCCTCCCACTCTGGGGTCGACAGGTCTCGTTATTGAACTCTGACGTGACGGACATGCTTTGTCTTTCAGGTGAGACGAAGCTGCTGAAGTTCACCACCATCAAGACCTCTGCAAACATGATTATTCTCAAGTGGGAGCCATTTTGGCCGCTGGACTTCAGAGACCTGCTGGGATTTATGGTTCAGTACAAAGAGGCGTAAGTACAGTCCGGGGCCCAGGACCAGCCGCTCCTCCAGTGGACCCTAAGCCCACGCCAGCTAGGCTGGTCCCAAACCGATCGGCCGCCGATATTATCAAGAAAATGTGTATCAGCCGGCAGGAGAAAACACCGATCCAGACTTCAGATCCAGTTTTAAAAAAAATTTGATTAGCCCTGTTGTTCCCTGATATTCAGTCCGTTCATTTTCCAGCACACCCTTAAGCATTAGCATTAGCATCTGTAACCACAGGTCTGTGTCCTAACCATTAAGTTGTTATCAGAGTAAATCCCTGTTCAACATGAGGCTGACAACTCAGTAAGTAGATAAATAACTTTAGACTTTAGTACAGGCTCTGATAGGCCGGGATCGGATCAGAAAGCTGGATGGGGACGTCCCTAATGCCAACAGTCCCTTTTCACAGTAGTTTTCCTGTATCTTATCCAGTGGAACTGTGCTAATGCTAGCTGCTGGTGGCTCTAATGGCTGTCTCCTCCCTCTGCTTCAGGCCCTACAGGAACGTGACAGAGTTCGACGGGCAGGACGCCTGTGGCTCCAACAGCTGGGTGATCGCTGACGTGGACCCCCCGTCTCGCCCCACCGACGGCAAGAAGGTGGAGGACCCGGGGCACCTGATCCGGCCGCTGAAACCCTGGACTCAGTACGCCATCATGGTCAAAACCCAGCTGTCCTCCTCTGACGAGCACCAGGTTCACGGAGCCAAGAGCGAGATCATTTACGTGCGCACCAGTGCCTCCAGTGAGTTCAGCACAGACCCAGAGGCTTCCTGTTCCTCCTGTTTGGGCTTTCTTACTAAAGCACACCTGTGTGTTGGCGAGCTAAGAGTTCTGAGAACACCCCCCTCCTCCTGGACGCTTTAAGCAGGTTCAAACACACTGCCACTGTAACCTTTCAATTCAATTAAATGTTATTTATACAGCTCCACATCCTAACAACAGGAATCTCCCAGCTTTCCAAACAGAGCAGCTCAGACTCTGAGTTATTTACAGAAGAACAAAAGTTCCCACCAAGAGCAGCACTAGGAGACACAGGGAGGAAACAACTGCCTTTAGGAGGAAGAAACCTGGAGCAGAACCAGAGAGGGGGGGCATCTGCCTCTGCCTCAACTTTTCTGCTACTGCCCCGTATTTCTGCTGAAAACAAAGCATGAATGTGTTGTGATGCTGATGTGAAGAATCTAGAGGTTCCTCACACTGGGAGGAACCCTAATCCTGAACTTTAGCTGAATTTATCTGAAACCTTTCTCACCGGACTGACTGAGTCTCCCCCCCCCCCCCCCCTACCGACCCCCGCCCCCCCCACTCACCGCCCCCCCCCCCCCCCCCGCAGAGCCCACTGTGCCTCTGGACCCCATCTCCTCCTCCAACTCCTCCTCTCAGATCATCCTGAAGTGGAAGCCCCCCACCAGTCCCAACGGGAACATCACCCACTACCGGGTCATCTGCCACAGGCAGAAAGAGGACGACGACCTCTACAAGTTTGATTACTGTCTGCAAGGTTAGTGCTGGCCGTCCACTGGCCCTTCTGTTGCCCCCCCACCCCCCAGCCTCTCTGACCCCGCTCTGCCCCGCTCAGGGATGAAGCTGCCGTCCCGCACCCCGACCCACCTGGACAACGAGGACGAGCAGAAGTGGAACCACACGGACGAGCCCGTGTCCGGGGGCAAGTGCTGCGCCTGCCCCAAGACGGACAGCCAGCTGAAGAAGGAGCAGGAGGAGATCGAGTACCGCAAGACCTTCGAGAACTACCTGCACAACGAGGTCTTTGAGAGCAGGTACAGACCCCAGAGGACCCCTCCGGACCCCCGTCCGCCCCCCCTCTGGCCCAGACCCCAGTGGGCAGACTCTGCCTCGTCCATTTGTCTGTGTGTGTGTGGTTCTCTGCTCTGTCTGTGCCCTTGTTTTCCTACTTGGTAGGTGGGGGGGCACCAGTGCCCCCACACAAACAGCCCCCGTCTCCCCCCTCTCCCGGGGGACGGGTCGCTGTACCCATTATGGTTCACGTCGTTCAGGGGGGCATTCATGCAGACTGCCATTTATCAGACTCGCAAACCAAAACCACCCCATGTGAACCCTAACCCTGGCCCGGCCAAGGCCCCCCCAGGAGCTCCTGGACCACCAGGCAGAGGCCCTGCTATCCGGAGGCCTCCTGGGGAATGGCAGGCACAGCAGCTCGTTGGCTCCCCCCAGTGGGAAGGGCCGCTGGCTCCAGCAGGAGGGATTTATGGACGGCTTTCTTTCCGGGGGGGGCCGCCACTCTGCACTCTCTCGTTCGGTGGATTTGTAGAAGGAAAACCCCCTCCTGACACCCTGGCTGTGGGTGACCTCTGTCCATTTGCTCCTCCAGGTCTTCACGCCGCCGGCGCTCGGTGGGGGTGGCCAACGCCACCCACTCGGCCCTCTCCCTGACCACCATCCCCAGTCTGCAGTTCGGCTCCACCACCGCCTCCCCCAAAGACCAGGACCAGGACCAGGAGGACGACGACGAGTCCAAGGTCACTGTTCCCTGTGTTTGCTGATCAGCCTTCCACTTTCAGAAAGCATGTCCCATAAAAATATGTGCATTTCTTTTATCCAAAAAGGTTTATTCTTCAGTCAGAAAGTTTAAGTGCTCTCGGCTTTTTCTTTTTTCTTCGCAAAGTGAAGCAACAGATTACACATTTAATTTGGAGTCTTAATCAAAGAAGACAACCTGCACACACTGTATACTGTAGAAATCTCTCATTCTTCCATTAGTGCGACAAAACCCAGAGCAGAAATCAGTGGGTTTTAATCTTTCCCTGCACGTATCTGCTCAGAGTTCCATTTCTAGAAAACTCTGACAGTAGAAGTGTATGTCAGCACAATATGATCCATAAAACATCTGCTCCCATCCAAATGTTTTCCCTCTTTTGTCAGACAGTTGTTTAAAATTCATCTGTGGAGACTGCATGTCAACTTTCCTTTTTCCTTTGCCTGGGTTCATTTCTGATTAGGTGGAGCTAAAGGTCTTTTCAAAGGAGTCAACCGTCATCTCCAACCTCCAACATTTCACCAGTTATAAGATAGAGATTATGGCTTGTAACCATCCCACGGACAGCAAGCGCTGCAGCATGGCCACATATGTCAGCGCCCGGACTATGCCAGAGGGTAAGAGCCAAAAGCCTGTTTCCCACTCCCCAAACTGGAGGGTTGAAGCTACAGGGGCAGGCAGCTGGACGTCAGACTGGTTACAGATTGTTCAAAGTGCCGCTCTTTATCTGCTCCCTGCAGAAAAAGCCGATGACATCCCAGGCCCTGTCACCCACGAGATCGTCTCAGCTGAGCCTCCCTACGTGCTCATCAAGTGGAGCGCGCCTGTGTCCCCAAACGGTCTGATCATCCTCTACGAGGTCTTCTACAAGAAGGTTGGAGATACCGAGGTCAGTAGCAGGAACATCTACAGGTCCAGGGGACGGGGGAATGGAGGAAAGAAGGATTCGGGTTAAGAAAAGCTGACGACACGGCCAGAGAGAAGGAAAGAAAAGGCTAGCCAAGGCTAGCAAACTGGAAAAGGCTAACAAACTGGCAAAGGCTAGCAAACCGGCAAAGGCTAGCAAACTGGCAAAGGCTAGCAAACTGGCAAAGGCTAGCAAACCGGCAAAGGCTAGCAAACTGGCAAAGGCTAGCAAACTGGAAAAGGCTAACAAACTGGCAAAGGCTAGCAAACCGGCAAAGGCTAGCAAACCGGCAAAGGCTAGCAAACTAGCAAAGCTCCAGAGGATGCTTCTGTCCTCCTGCCTGCCCCCCCATGTCTTCCTCCTCCTGTGTTTACACAAGAAAACTTCTCAAATCACCACTGATCGCTAGTCAGAGCTGCACCGCCCGACCTTATGAGCCAGCGCAGCTCCGTTGCCATAGCGACAGAGGCAGGAAGGAAGACTGGGATGCAGTGGCAAAGATGGACTGGCATCAGGGGGGGGGGGGGCACCAACCCCACTTCCCACCACACACATCTTCCAGCCTGAGTTTAGAGGGGTGAAAGAATCATTTGGTGTGGAGCAGACTTCCAAAAGGGGCCAAAAGTCATGGCTGGTGAAACAAACTTTGTATTTTCCATCACATTTCTGGTATATAGAGAGTTATGTAAAGGCAAAAGTACAGTGAAATCTACTATTGATGAATTCTACACTTTTTGGATGTGTGTTGGTGGAGTCTGAGTTCAGAGTTTGACCAAAGTCACTGAATCTGCCCTCAGAATGATAGTTGTGTTAAAGGTAGGAAAACCTCCCAGCATGCACCAGAGAAATGGGCCGGTGCCTGCCAGGGGCTTCATATTTTATTAACTTTGTTTTCTATTGTGTTCATGCTCTGTACATCGTTGCTGTTATGCATATTTCATAAAAAGTTCATCAGTGAGGAGCCTGTTTGCTCTGGTTTTAGTTTAGTTTGTCTTTTCCCCTCTCCGGTTCTGATTTCTGTCTAACTTCACTGTTTTGGAGTACAGCTCTCCCCTTGGGCCTGCCCCTGATGGCTGCAGTGTTGTGTGTGTGCACAGGTTCACACGGCCTGCGTGTCCCGGCCGGCCTACATCCGGATGGGGGGCACCAAGCTGTCCCTGCTGCAGCCTGGAAACTACAGCGTGAGGGTCCGGGCTACGTCTTTAGCAGGAAATGGCTCCTTTACTGAGACCACTTACTTCTCCATGCCCAACCGTAAGACCGCGTCCTGGCTCTCAGATGTACTGCGATAGCTTGTGAAGTAGCCTGCTAAGCCCCCTGTTGTCTGCAGCCGACCCGGGTCTGGTCTGGATCGTGAGCGGGCCGGTGCTCTGCGTCATCCTGCTGCTGTTTGTGGGAGGAGGTGTCTTTGTGATCATCAGGAAGAGGTAAGAAGCAGCCCAGCTCAGGCCACACCTCCAGGCTCTAGCAGTCTCCCACACGCTCTGTGCTCCCCCCCAGGCAAACGGAGGGCCCACTGGGAGACCTCATCACCTCACCAAACCCGGAGTACTTCAGTGCCAGTGACAGTGAGTCTCTAGAGTCCCGGTCTCTGGATGGGGAGCAGCCCCCTGTGTCTGAAGGGTGGCTGTGAGCCTTCACGGCCCTTTTCTCTGCTGTGTAGTGTACGTCCCCGACGAGTGGGAGGTGCCCCGGGAGAAGATCCAGCTGCTCAGGGAGCTGGGGCAGGGCTCCTTCGGCATGGTGTACGAGGGCATCGCCAAGGACATCGTGAAAGGGGAGCCGGACACCCGCGTGGCCGTCAAGACGGTCAACGAGTCGGCCAGCCTGCGCGAGAGGATCGAGTTCCTGAACGAGGCCTCAGTCATGAAGGCCTTCATTTGCCACCACGTGGTACGCCTCACTCTGCAGCTCCCTGTAGAGCTCTGCAGCTCCCTGTAGAGATCCGTAGAGATCTGTATCCCTGTAGAGATCTGTAGAGCTCTGCAGCTCCCTGTAGAGACCTGTAGCTCCCTGTAGAGATCTGTAGCTCCCTGTAGAGATCTGTTGCTCCCTGTAGAGATCTGTAGAAATCCGGAGCTCCCTGTACAGCTCTGTAGCTTCTTGTAGAGCTCTACATCTCCCTGTAGAGATCTGTAGATCTCTGCAGCTCCCTGTAGAGATCTGTAGTTCCCTGTAGAGCTGTGTAGCTCCTTGTAGAGATCTGTAGGTCCCTGTAGAGCTGTGTAGCTCCTTGTAGAGATCTGTAGGTCCCTGTAGAGCTGTGTAGCTCCTTGTAGAGATCTGTAGGTCCCTGTAGAGCTGTGTAGCTCCCTGTAGAGCTCCGTAGCTCCCTGTAAAGCTCCACAGCTCCCTGCCCTCCAGCTGGAACCAGCATGAGCATGTTTGACTCAGCGCTGACTGGCTTGTTGTGTTGGAGTTTCCATATTGACACACAGTTTGAGTCCAGCACAAACGTTCACACTTGGTGAGCGATAGTGTGCCGTCGCTGTTTCCCTCCACAAGCTAGCAGCCACAGACCAAGCTGCCATGTGCTGCCAGCTGTAGGAACCGTGTGGAGACGGGTTCTTGACCCTCTGATGGGGAGGGAACCCACATAGGGGCAGTGATGTCTTAACACTGGAATCACACACACTTGGTCCTGACGTCAAATATTGACAAGCATTCATATTTAATACGCTTCACAGGAGACATTGCTGGCACACTTGTCTGTTAACAGGATGCACATTACAGGATATTGGCTGTTTTTCACCTCTCCATCCTTATGTCTGTACGTTAGAAAGGGAATGGAACGGTCCAATTTGAGCTATTAACATGCATTAATGCTGGATTTGCTTTAAGTTTTGTTGGAAAGTCAATAATCTGCCAAAGGAAGCAAAAGGTTAAACCTCTCTATTTTGAAAAAAGACATATATATATCTCTGTTCAGCATTATCTCTGGGCCTTTTCTGATGTAAATGTGTCAGAATGGGGTCTAAAGTCTTGGTTCTTTGTGTTTAATGGGACTTTTTTGGAGCGCAGGAGCTGGAGAGCAGCTTGTTCCTGCTGGTGGCTTTGCTCCGGTTCCAGTTCCCCCCTTGGTTCTGGTCCAGCTGCTGATCACACATCTTAGACTTAGACTTGTACTTTATTGATCCCTTGGGAAGACTCCCTCAGGAAATTAAAGTTACCAGCAGCTTACAGGGCAAAAAAGTGGCACACAGAGAGTAAAATGCAAAGAAATACAAAAAATACAGATTAAGTCCAGGTTCACACTAAATGTGAATAGCCCCAAAAAATATAGTAAATTAAAAAAGTAAGATATAAAAACCCCTAAATTAAGCAAAAACAAGCAAAGAATAAGAATATAAATACAACGTGAAAATAAAGACCCCTAAGAAACTCTAGGAGTTTGGCAGATAGATGGACCAGTGATATGGCTTTGCACTTTGTGGTTAGGCCTGATAGATATGGAGTTCACATTTTCCAGAAAAACACAAGTGTTCCGGAAAAAACAAGCGCTGTGTGCCGTCCTGCAGGTGCGTCTGCTGGGCGTGGTGTCCAAAGGCCAGCCCACGCTGGTGGTGATGGAGCTGATGACCCACGGGGATCTGAAGAGCTACCTGCGCAGCTTGAGGCCGGACTCCGAGGTGAGTG